CTGGTCTACATGATAGGTTACAGGCCAATCAAGGTTATGTAAAACCCCATCTCAGTAAAACAGAAAAAAAAGGTTAGGTGTTCCCTGGCCATTCAGGGAAAGCTCAGTCTTGCTTAAGGACTGGACTTTAATTCATAAAGCTGGTTGACCACCAACACTCCTTTGGCCCCACATGCCCCAAAATATGAGAAAACAAACAAGCAAAAACCCAGCAACGGTAAGTGTAGTGATTTCAGAAACCCTTGAATGCCTCAGAAAGCCAGGAGCAGCAGAGAGGGTCTCAGGAAAGATGACTCCTGGGCTCTCCTTACACTGCTCCAAAAAGAACAGTATCTGTTCCTGCTCCTATCACCAAGTAGCCATGCCCCTGCCTCACCTCCCTCCTGTGATGCTTTGTGTTCTATGTTGCAGCAGAAGAAAATAGCACCTGTTAATCTCCCATATACTTGTTCATAGACTGAAAAATAAAAAAAAATCTCCCCCTGGCTTTGTTTTGTGTAAGGCTCTCCCAGCACCAATATGAGCCAATTGACCATCCTTTCCCTATTACAGAAGGAGTGGTGCTTTTTGTCCTGTGGCAGGCTAGCCTCAGCTCCTGCCTGCCAGAGCAGTCTCCACATGACAAGCATGCTTGTGGTGCCCGTAGCTGTGATTTCTCTGCCCATGAAGCCCATGATTGTGATATCTGTGTCTTGTGATGTCTGTGTCTGTGATATCCATCCCTGTGGTACCCAGGCTTATGATGTGGTGCCTATGATGTCTATGCCTGTGGTACTCACCCCTGTGATGCCCACGCCTGTGACGTGCCACCTGTGATGTCTGTACCCTCCTGATAGGGAGAACTCAGTTTCAGATCCCTGCCTACTTAATTACTTGAGCCAAATATAGCGCCATCGGGTGCCAGACCCATGTGAAATGACCACCATGCAAATATTCTCACAGACACATTGCCTTTTCAAATGTGGCCAGAGTCAGGAAATACGAAGAGAGAAAGGCAGAGCGTAGTAGGAGCTGGTGCCAAGAGGTGGACCTGGATTTCAACTCTGTCCTTGTGTTCGTCAGGATTTTTTAGAGTAACAGAACTTATAGAATGAATCTCTTTATACATAGAGGGAGCAGATTTACTAGAATGACTTACAGGCTGTGGCTCAGCTAATCTAACAATGGTTCCTATGAATGGAAGGTTCAAGAATCCAGTAGTAGTTCAGTCCACAAGGCTGATGTCCCAAAGAAGTAGGTTCTAATGAAAGAGAAGGAATGGAGTTGTTAGTGAGAATAAGCAGGCAAAGAGCAAAAACTTCTTTTATGTACACTTTTAGCAGATAATGTAGCCCCAGATCAGAGGTGGGTCTTTCCAACTCAAAAGATCTGGGCTAAAGGTGTGTCTTCCTACTTCAAAGATCCAGCTTAGAAGTGGATTTTCCCACTTCAAATTAAAAGTCCCTCACAAGTTTGCCTCATTTTGTGGTTTTATTTCATTCCAGATGTAGTCAAGTTGACAATCAAGAATAGCCACCACGGTCCCATTTTTTTTTTTTTATAGGAATGTCCAAAATAGGGGAGTCCATTAAAGACAGACAGCGGGCTCCCTCAGGCTGAGGGCAGGACTTGGCTGAAGGGGGCAGTAGTTGGTGAGAGTTCCTCTGTGAAGCGGCAGCTGATAGCGACAGCAGTGGTGCCCGCAAAGCTCAGCGGTGTGCTGCAAACCATGGTCAGGCCTGGCTGGATCTAAAGTCCACTGGAAGACAGAGCTCTGCCTGCGTCTGTGAGACAGTTTCTAGATGGGGTGTGTTAAGGTGGGAAGACTCCCCCTGGGGTGCCAGACTGAAGAGAAACACAAGAACGCAAGCTGAGGCGCCAGCATCCCTCTCTCTGCTTTCCGAGCTCCACATAACTAGCCACCTCACCCTCTTGACACAATGGCTTCCCTTGCCGCACTGTGCCCTCACACTGTGATCCAAAAGAAAGGCTGCGTTCCTGCGTGGTAGTGTCCATGCGGTGGTTTGAATGAAAATAAACCCCATGGATTCCTAGGGAGTGGCTCTAAGGAGGCGTGGCCTTTCTGGAGTAGGTGTGTCTTTGTTGAGGAAGTGAATCACAGTGGGCGGGCTTTGAGGTCTGAAATGCTCAAGCTAGATCTAGTGTGACTTTAACGTCCTCTTTCCTGTTGATCTGGATGTAGAACTCTCAGCTCGTTCTCCAGTATCATGTCTGCCTGTACACCACCATGCTTCCCACCATGATGGTCTAAACCCCTGAGCTGTAAGCCAACCCCAGCTAAATGTTTTCCCTCCTAAGAGTTGCCATGGTTATGGTGTGTCTCCACAGCATTGTAGGTGTGGCATTAAATAAAAACTCTGAGAAGTATGCCCCACACTGCTCACAACAGCTAAGACACGGAACCAACAGCAGATAGAGGGACCAAGGAAATGCACTGCACACACACAATGCAATTCCACTGGACAGTGAAGAAAAATCTGGACTCCAGCAGGAAACTGGACGGAGCAGGAGATTATCATGTTAACTGAAATAAGCCAGAATCAAAAGGCAAATGCTACATGTTTTCTCTATAAGCGTAATCCAGATTTAAGTGTGTGAGAGAGAGAGAGACAGAGAGAGAGAGAGGAGGAAACTCTTAAAAGGAAGGCTATGAAGGAGAGTAATGGAATGCAAAGGACGTGAACACAAAGGATGGCTACGACAGGGGAGGAAGGTGACATGCAGGAGGGTGGGAGTTGAGTGTGCTGGTTATTTTTATTAACACAACACAACCTAGAATCGCTCGGGGGAGAGAATCTTAATGAGGAATTCTCTAGATCAGCTTGGCCAGTGGGCGTGTCTCTGGGGTTTGCCTTGATTACTAATTGGTACAGGAGGACCCAGTCCATCATGGGTGACACCACTCCCTAGGCAGGGTGTCCTGAACAGTTTGAGTGAAGAAACTGAGCTGCTCAAGCAAGCAAGCAAGGCAAGTAAGCAAGCAAGGCACCATTATGTATTTATTCTCTCTCAGCTCTTGACTGTAGGTGTGTCTAGCTGCTTAAGTTCCTGCCTTAACTTCCCCCAATGACAGTCTGCAGCCTGGAGTTGCAAGCCAAATGCATTCCTTGCTCCTTTAAGTTCCTTTCTGTCAGAAGACATTTTACCACAGCAACAGAAACGAAACTAGAATAGTGGGGGAGGGCAGTGAGAGGAAGAGATGAATAAGAATAAAATATAATGTCGTCTATGGATAAAATTGCTATAATGAACCCCATTACTTCAACAAATAACTTTAAACTTTCATGAAAACAAACAAATTCATTACAATGATAATAGTAGAATATATCCACCAAAGAAAACCTACCACTGAGGAGACAAACAGGTATATAGAACTCTGGGAATGTGAGGGCTTCTATTTTTTTTTTTTCTAAAAATTTACTTATTTACTATTTGTACAACATTCTGCCTGCATGTGTGCCTGTGCGCGAGAAGAGAGGACTAGGTTTCACCATAGATGGTTGTGAGACACCATGTGAGTTCTGGGAACTGAACTCAGGACCTTTGGAAGAACAGCCAGTGTTCTTAAGAACTTCTGAGCCATCTTCTCAGCCCTGGCTTCTATTTTTTTTTAAAGTCTTTTGTCTTTCACAATAAAATTTACCTGGCTTTAAATGTAAGTAAAAATATCTAGGGCAATGGCTCAGGGGTTAAGAGTGGTCCCTGTTCTACAAGAGTCCATGAGTTTAATTCCCAGTACCCAAGTTCGGGTGTCACAGTGAAAGCAAGACAGCTCCACACGGCAGAAGGCACAAGTGTTGACATTATGCTAAGCGCTACAGACACCGAAAGACACACAGATGTCACTTAGTTGGCAGAGTGCTTGCCTGTCGAACACAAAGCCCTAGCTTAGATCCCCCAGCATTCCATAAACTAAACATGGCAGTACACACCTGTAATCCAACCCCGGGAGGTATAGACTTAAGAGATCCGCTCCAAGGTCATCCTTGGCCACATGCCAGGTGGCCGACAAGTGGGCTACACCAGACTTTGTCTCAAAGGAAAAAAAAGTGTGGAGGGGGGTGGGGGATGGAGAGATGACTTGGTGGTTAAAAATCTGGCACCCACATTGGGCTGCTCACAACTGCTGCTAACGCCAGCTCCAGGAGATCTGACACCCTCTCCTGGCTCTTCCGTGGGCACCTGCATATGTGTAGGACACACTCTCTCTCTCACACACATACACACCTACATATATATATATATATATATATATATATATATATATATATATATCTTAAAAATAAGTAAGTAAAGAAGTGCATGCATGAGCAGAATGCCAGCCAAACTATTCTTTAATCTCTATAAAGCTGTACCACAAATGTGAATCGCAGTCCCACAACTCCACCTACAGCACTGTGGCAGTGGACACTCATTTCCAGTTTCTGTCTTTTGTCTCCTAAGCTCAGCATCCTCCATATAACTGCCCAAGAGTCTCAATCAAGACCAACCATTGGCAGATGATGCCACCGGGGCCTTCCAGGTGTCAGCAGGAACCACTGATACTGCTCCTGAGCAGAGATGTCATCTGCTGTTTTCTTTGCTCTGATTTGTCACCCTGGTTACTCATCCTCAGGTTTCCCCAATGGACAGGTCAACCCATTCTGTCAGCAAAGCTAATCCATAGCTTCATGGTACATTCCAGGCTCCCGTGTGTGAGGCTGGGAGCCTTCCCAAGGGAAGAATCTGAATGTCAAGACCACCCTCAGACCCAGCAGGGTGGACACCCTGGTCATATCTATTCCACAGATATTCGTGTCCACTTGGAAGCAGAGTATGAGACCAGGTGAGCTCAGGAGGGGCTGGTGGGTGTCTCTGAGGGGCCCATGTACTTGCTTGCCTTTGCTGCTGCGTGTGGAAAAATAAGGTCCAGTGAGGGACAACGGGCCTGTTTGCACACCACACTGTTCAAACAGACTCCCCTGCCGCAGACACCTGTGCAGTGGAGGACAGGGCGGGCAGTCACAGAGGCCCTTACCTCTTCTCCCCTCTCCCTGCAGCCACCCTCACAGCCTCTGCAGGATCCTGGCCGCACAATGCCCCTTGCTGGGCTCTGCAGCTGTTGGAACCGCCGGGTGCTGCCTCTGCTTACGGTGTATATCTTCTACCTGCTGCTCGGGGCCACCATTTTCCGGCTGCTGGAGAAACAAGCGGAAGCTCAGTCCAGGGACGAGTTCCAGCTGGAAAAGCTGCGCTTCCTGGAGAACTACACCTGCCTGGACCAGCAGGCCCTGGAGAAGTTTGTGCAGGTAAGGGACTAAAGAGGGCTAGGGCTGGAAGAGTGGGAAGGTGGGTGGAGGAGCCCAGGGCAGGTGCAGAGCCACCACCCAGAGGCTGGTCCTGTTTGGAGACACAGTGTGGTGGGAACTGTAGCCTGAGGAAACCTAGCCCTGTGCCTGACCCTCGGGTATACAGACAGACCACTCTGTGGCCAAGTCACCTAATTTAAATGTCATCATCAGTCAGTTAAATGCTTGCCATTCAAATATGAGGATCTGAGTTTAATGCCCAGAACCCACTCAGCAGACAGAGGAATTTGCCATGGAGCCTGATGACCTGAGTTCAATCCCTGGAGATAAAACACACACACACACACACACACACACACACACACACACACACACAATTTGAAAACAACAACAACAAAGGCCAGGCATGATGGAGCACACTTGTAATTCCTACGGCTATCTGGCTAGCCAGCCATGACAAATTGGCAAACCCCACCCAAGCCAATGATCAAAGCCTTCTCAGAAAACAAGGTAGAAAGTTGGAAGTGTGGCTTCATTGGCAGGAGTACTTTCTTTGTAAGCTTGGGGACCTGAGTCTGAATCCCCAGCACCCATGGAAAACTCTGGTATGGGTCTAAGTATATGGGACCACAACATTGGGCAGAAGGGAAGCTGGAACCCTGGGAGAGCTCACTGGCCAGGCCAGCCTAACCAAAAGGGCAAGCTTCCAGGTGGGTGAGAGACCCTGCCTCAAGGAAATATACACTGGAGAGTGACAGAGAAGGCATGGGGTATCCTACCCTGACCTCCTCTGAGCACACACTCACACATTCAGAAATGTGCACCAAAGAGAGAAGGAGGGAGGGATGAAAGGAGGAAGGGGGAAGTGGGGGGGGGAGAGAGGAGGGAGAGAGGGAGAGAGAAATTAAAGAAATAAAACTAGGGCTGAGCTGGAAGCCAGGAGATCCCATTCCCTCTGTGGCACCAGGCCCTCTGGTGGTACAAAGACATACATGGAAAACACCCATACAAATAAAATGACAAGGAATAAATATTTTTTAAAAGCTGGTGGCTCTGAGGAAGGACACCTGCTGTTGACCTCTGACCTCCATATGCACACGTATATGTTCCCAACTACCTGCACATACACAAACATGTATTACACACACATACATGCACACATGCACAAAGAAGACAGGTCCCTGTGCACACAATGCTTAACAGCACAGTAAATCTCTCTAAGCCATCACTCACTGTACACTCTAGAACTTTCCCTTCACGCACTTTCCCACTTCTCAGGACTGTGGCTTCATCTGCTGGCTCCCAGCTTATGGCCCTGGGTGGAGACCCAGATAAAGGTGAGAACCAGCTGTTACACTGGACCTGCCTCCTTCCTGGGCTGGCGGACAATGGCCAGGGTGGGTGAGCTCTACCAGGCCGCAGCCCCAAGTGCTCTTGTTCCCTGCCTGGGCCCCTCCTGCCTTCCCCCTCAACAAACAAAGCAATACCAGTGTAAGGGAAAGGTGAGCACACAGGGAAGATGAGCAGAAGAGACATCAGCTGCCGCCATCAGGCCACGCGCAGTGATAACTGGCCTCTAGTGAGTGCTTCTGACATGTGTTAAGGGGTGGGGACCAGGCTCCTGATCCATCCTGGTTCACCATCCTGGGATGGAGCAGCATATAGGTGTTTTCTCCCAACAGCCTACAGCGATCAGCATCTCCACCTCAAAGGTGGGAACTAAGAGAGAGAGGCTCAGTCACTGGCTGGGGCAGAGCACCTCTACCACCACCACCACCACCACCACCACCACCACCATCTCCACCACCTCCACCTCCATCATCACCTCCATCTCCTCCACCACCTCTATCTCTACCATCTCCACCTCCACAACCTCTACCACCACCTCCACCACCTCCTCCATCATCACCTCCACCGCCTCCTCCACTTCCACCTTTATCACCAGCACCTGAAAGCTTATTAGGGAATCAAGTTTCAGAGCCACTTAGACCTGCTGACTCAGGAACTGAGTGAGGCCACATGCTGACGATGAGGCCCTGAGCCTGAGCTTTCTTTTGGGGCTGAGGCAACTGGTCTACAAGATGAGACTTGAGCAGAGAGACTTGCTCTTCCAGGATACCCTTCATGCACACAGAGTCACTCAGGAATGGCAGTCACCTCCACCCCTGCCGACGCCCCCGGAGTGAGCCAGAGACAGGGACACCTCAACCCTTCTCCCGCCTCAGCCCTGGGATGGGGGTAGAGCCAGGAATGAGTAGTGGACAGATGGGTGGACAGGCACAAACCGGTTCTGCAATCAAGGACAAGGGTCTAGGCCTGACTGCAGCCCGAAGGGGACAGTACGTTGCACCAGGAATTTGCTAAGGAAGATGGGGTATACATGTCCCTCAAAGTCCTCAGTCTCAGAACAGGATGGGTGGAGCTTGTAGGCGGAGAAGTGCTAGGGTAACATTTGAAGGGGACCCAGTCCCTCGGGAACTCACACACTGAGTCATAAATGGTGCTGAGTGGAGTGTTCAAACATGACCCCATATGACGCCTGTATGTTTGCCTCTTTCTCCTTCACCACTGGATTCTCAGAGACAAAGATGTCACGGCCGCTTGAGGCCACTCGCCTACACTCAGAGCCCTAAGGGAGGCCAGAGACCCTTCTCCACAAGACAGAGGGCCTAGAGGTGCAGTGGGGATGGATAACCAGGGACTTGAGCAAATGCTGTCCCCAAGAGCGAGGGTCTTCTGGAAGGGGACACGCTCTGGCATGCCTGGCTGCGTCCTCTGCACGTGTGGGGAAAAGGAAGCCAAAGTCTACATCTTAAAGCTAGCTCCTAGCTGGATGAGGTGGCCCACGCCCACAACCCCAGCACTTGGGAGGCAGAGGCAGGTGGATCTCTGTGAGTTCAAGGTAGCCTGTTCTACAAAAGCTGGCCCAGGACAGCCACGGCTACACAGAGAAACCCTGTCCTGAAAAACAAAACAAAAACAAACAAAAAGCTGGGTCCTGCCCAAGTGAGGGTCAGGAGTTCTCCACCCAGCAAGTGAAAATCAGTTCCCACAGGAAACAGAGGCAGGAGTAGCAACCAGACTGCGCAATGGCTCCGTGCCTTTCAAGTACTGCTGGGTGATAACCCTGAGCTGATGCGGCCCCGGGGCGAGTTACCAGCTAAAGGGGAAGAGGGCTAGAGTTGGGAAGAGGGAGCCCTGCCCATTCCTCATGAGGAGTAGAGGGCTTCGACCTGCCAAGGCTCCCGCCCTAGAAACACAGAACACAGACACACAGAGCATACACACCCATGCAACACACAGTACTGCACAACAGAGCACACACACCACATGTACACACATAGTCCCTCCTGGGCCCCTGAAGGAATTTTTTCTGCAGGTGTGGACTGTGCTCACTAGAGAATGTCAGAGAGCAAAGCTGTCAGCCCCCTGGATGCCCTGGAAAGCTCTCGGCCTCCCACCACAAGCTCTGTGGGAGGGAGGCCCCAGGCTCCACCTTCCCCAGCAGATCCTTCTGGAAGTATCGGACACCAACCTCTCCTTCTCCTAACTAATGTGTGCATGTGTGTCAGCTTCCTAGTCACCAAAAACATCTCCACACCACCTCCTTATCTCCTGGCTCTCACAGCGGTCAACCACTTGGCGAGTGTCTCAGCCACTCAGCTTTCTTGTTCAGAGACTTGTTAAACTTAACCACTAAACAGCATCCTCCTGAGAGCTCAGTGACAGCTGGCCCTCGGCAAATGCTAACCCCTCCCCTCCTGACCATGCCACCCCTACAGGTCATCCTAGAAGCCTGGGTGAAAGGCGTGAACCCCAAAGGCAACTCTACCAACCCCAGCAACTGGGACTTTGGGAGCAGTTTCTTCTTCGCAGGCACAGTAGTCACCACCATAGGTAAAGGGGCTGGGAGAGAGGGGCCTCCACACACCGTCGCTAGGACAAGGATGTGGTTTATCCAGGTGGCGACACAGGAAGCACGAACAGGGGCCTGGGTGAGACAGGAACAGGAAAGCAGTGAAGTATACACACCCTGGTGCCATGGGGGAGAGGGCTGGGGTCCTGGGGTCCTCTGAAGGACTAGCCAGAGCCATTCATCAGCACAACTGCATGAAGGCAAGCATAGGTCCCTCTGTTGACTTCAGTCCTGGCTGGCAGAGACCAATCCTGGTGTGTCAATATTCTGACACTGTGCACCTGGCCACAGACCTGAACATTCTCTCTGGGAGAAATATAGAAGTATTTGAGGTGGTAGGTCATTTGTGCAGAGGGACTGTCCCTTAAAGCTGCGGATAACATACTAGATGTAGGAGCTGGAGAACAGCAGAAAGCCCTTTATTCATCCCAACCTCTCACACCAGCCTCCCTTCCATTCAGTTAAGCCCAGTTAATTTCAAACACCTTGCTTGGAAGCCCAAGCAGATCATTAGAATATGGGTGAGGGTATGAGTTTAAATGTGACACAGGCTTGGCCTTCCAACTCACAAAAGAGGGATTAAATTACTATGGTTATATGAGGGAAATGGCGATTATTAAATAGAAATGACATGAAACATCTCAGGAAATCACACCTGACAGGGAGGCAGAGGGTGGCGGTCAGGAGGGCTTCAGGGAGGCAGCATCATTGGAGAAAAAGCCTTCTGTAAGTAGAGATTATTCTAGCAGAGACTAGGATGAAGAAGTGAGCTTCTTCTCCCCCAGAAGAGCCCAGGGGAGGGGGCAGGCTGGCAGAATGCATTTCTGGCCTCTTTTCCCCTGACATGCACACTCTTTGCCCTGTAGGTTACGGAAACCTGGCACCCAGCACAGAGGCAGGGCAGGTTTTCTGTGTCTTCTATGCCCTGATAGGTATCCCGCTCAACGTTCTCTTCCTCAACCACCTGGGCACAGGGCTGCGTGCCTACCTGACCACACTGGACAGGTGGGAGGAACACTCCAGGCGTTCCCAGGTAGGACGGTGTCTCCCGGATTCCTCTGGGACAGACGGCTGCAAATGTGGGGACGGGCTTGGGTACAGGGTTAAGGGCAGACACCTGAGAGAGTCAACAGCTGGGAGGCTAGTCAGAGAGACAAGTAGAAGAGTGGTTCCGCAGCACATGAGACCGTGGAGTCTACCTGCAAAGACATGACGGCCAGACACGGGGTACAACTTCTCTGGGAAGATTGTGCGCAGGTGCCAGGTAGCTCTTTGCAGTGGAAGTTTGAATATTATGTTTCTGTCTTCATCATGAACTCCCAACATCCCTTTGTGTGGTTCAAAACAGTCTCCAGGCCACCCAGCATGGCCCCAGAGCTCACTGCCCAAGAAGGACCTGGGACATCTCAGTTGCATTAGTCCTATGCCAGGTCTCAGTTCTCCTGGGAGTCTATGCAAGTGTGATCCTCACATTCAAAGGGATCTCCCTTTTTGATCAACTATGATCGAAGGCCATGGGCACAGCCCCACCCAAAGGTTTTCCATCATTGCCCTGAGTACGAACCCGACTCTGCAGACCTACCCCAGATATTCCTGGAGCCTTCCAAGTGGTTTTAAAGGCAGACCCTCCTTTTCTAGCTCCTGCAGGTCCTGGGCTTGGCTCTGTTCCTGACCCTGGGGACCCTGGTCATTCTCATCTTCCCAGCCATGTTATTCAGCCATGTGGAGGGCTGGAGCTTTGGAGAGGGTTTCTACTTTGCCTTCATCACCCTCAGCACCATTGGCTTCGGAGACTACGTTGTCGGTGAGAATGAGAATATTAAGGTATCTTGGTGGGTACTCGCTAGAATCTGGGGCACATGGAGGTGCCAGCTGAGGCTTTTTGGGCCACTGTGGACTCTTGGTGGCATCCTCAGAAGTCTCTGCTGTTTCTGCCACTGGTCCTTCTTCTGAGGACCGGGGAGAGAGCACCCCTATGGAAGCTGGGGGTGGCTGTGCCCTCAGACACCAGCCATCACCTTCCCTGGCAGGCACAGACCCCAGCAAGCATTACATCACCATGTACCGGAGCTTGGCAGCTGTGTGGATCCTCCTAGGGCTGGCATGGCTGACAGTGGTCCTCAGCCTGGGATCCCTGCTTCTGCACAGGTGCTCCCGGCTCTGGCTGCTCATCAGAGGTCTGGACCCCAAGGATGGAGCAACCCTTGACCCTGACCCCAGACCTCAGAAGATCCCCATCTCTACATGATAACCCAAATGTTCCAATCACCCACCCATCCTCCCCCATCCCCCAGACCCATGCCATTCCCTGCCCTTCCTTCCCAACCCACACACTTTTCGGGCGGAGTAGTCAGTAATTCTCCAGAGGAAGGAGAAAGGTATGCCTGCAAAGTATTTAGGAGAGATACAAAGACAATTATGTGAGTGGAGATCTGCACACTGGCCTCAGCCCCTTTCCTGGGTCCCTCAAAGAGAACCTGGAAAAGCCAACATGGATCATGATGGCCAAACCACCATTGCCACCTACATATACCAGCAGTAACCCTTAGGCTGCGAGCCAAGGTGGAGTTGTGTTTGTGTTGGTTGCTATACACTAGGCATTCAACAAGCACCTACTCTGTGCCAGGCCTGTACTCTTGCTGCATCTTCAGTCTTGAAGGCGTGGACATATGGAGAAGCAGCCCAGTGCAGTGCTCCCAGAGCCTTGATAGAAACAACCTGGAGAGAATGAGAATTCAGGGCAGTGGCCGGAGGAGGGGAGCTGGGCACATCAGCGACATTCCAGTGCCCACAGGGAAGTGCCTCCAGGAGGCTCACAGCAGTCAGCCCTCTCCAGCTCCCCTCGGCCACAAGAGAAGGAGTATTCCTGAACAAGGCTTTTGACATCTTCTGGGTGTCCCAGCATCTCCTGAGCATGATCTCCCTGGACCTCCAGGCACCCTTGGTCCTCACTACTCCCCCTTGGTCCTCACTACTCCCCCTGAGAAGCTGGAGGAGCAGCAGATCCCAGGAGCCTTACAGAATATGTGTTCCCTTGGGTCTAGGCTCTCATGGGCACACTCTCCGCGCACACCTGGTCCTTTGGCCAGCTTTCAGCACCGTGGGCCTGAAGGGAGGACAGATTTGGCCCAGTCTGCCCCATTGCCTGGTCTTAAAAGGATTAGGAGCTAATTCTTCCTTGGCCTTCTTTCTCCCCGGAAGTAAGGAAGTCTGCAAGATCTGTGTCTTTGCAGAATTAGGAGTGGAGGTTGAGGAGAGTCCCTGGGAAGGACCCTCATCTTTGGAGTGATTTTTCTCCCCCAGGTCTGAAATCTGAAGCTCTCCATCTGCTCTATACATGCTAGCCCCTGCCTCAGCTCTGGGTGAGTGGGGACTCAGAGTCCCCACTAGGTCCACTGGGTCCACATGCCTTACACAGACTTACCTTACCCAGCTGGGGCCCTTTTCTTTGAGTGTACCTCTTGTGGGAAAACCTAGGGTGACAGTGACCACTTGTCTCTGGTGTGACAACTTAGACTGGAGCCCTGTGACAATAAACTCGGCTGTTTCTCTTCCGCATTGCACTGTGGATTGCAGGAGTCTTTGCCTGAGGGTGGGTGAAAGGGTCTGAGTATTCCCTTTCCTCATCTGTTGGCTACCTGACAGCCCTCCCCTTTGCCCAGACTCTCAGGTGGGCACTCCAACTCTCCATGAGCTATCTTTTGTCCCTGGGATTGGACCCTTGAAGGTGAGCAGAGCCATCACATCCTGTAGCACTCCTCAAGGGGAACAGGCCACTCACAGGCATTTGCTTAGAGAAGAGCCCCTCCTGGCCTCTTCTGCACATTCCCTGTTCCTGTCTACCACGGCACTCCCGGGCTCTAGCCTCTCCACCATGTGTAGACCATGACCTCCTGAGGCACCCTGTTGGGCTGGGGGCTATCACATGCTTGGCATGGGGCTCCTGGTGCTCTCTCACTTGGCTCACGTGGCTCTGGGCGCCTGTGTGTTCTGGACGCTGAAAGGTCATGTGGCCTGGAACTCCAGCTGCAGCTTCTAGCATGACAAGTGGGAACTACTATAGAGCTTCATGTCTGGATGGCCCAGCGCTGGGCCTGCTGATCCAGGCTAAGGGACTAGAGGAGCCAGCTGAGGAAAGAAAGGGCCTGGGGGCTCACTGCAGTGATAAAGAGTGCTCTGGGACAGTAAAGTGCTCAGAGGAGTAAACAGGATTGGGAAGAACAAGGCTGTGAGGTTAGGGGTGGGTAGTCACGGGAATGGGTTGGACTCCATGGAAAGGGCAGGGCTCGGCTTTAAGGAAGTGAGAGGCAGTACTAGCTAGCCCTGTAGGGAGACCTGTCCAGAAGACAGCCATAAAGAATACAGAGGAACACTTCCCTGGGTCACAAGCTAAAGGCTGTCCGATAGGGGACAGCTATGTTTGGTCAGCCTTGTGCTGGGCTTGTTGAGACAAAGGGTGAAGAATGAAAGGCCACACCTAGCCTCTTTCAAAGGACAAGGGAGGGGCAAATACCTTGGGGCTGACCAGACTCTCAGGGGGAAATTGACCTGAGGAACTTGAGCTTGGGAACTTCAGGAGAAGGGGCTCAGCCCATCAGGGTGGGTGAAGCAAGGCCAAAGTATGTTGGTATGGGCATCCTGGGCCCAGGGCAAAGAAGAGAGGGAGCTGAGAGCTAGTGGACTTGGGCTGAACCCAAGCTGAGATCACCTGAAGTAGCTGGACATTAAGAGCAGACACCCACCCCACCCGAAGTTCAGGCAGGGATGAAAGGGGTGGAGCAGGGGGAGGGAGGCGCAGGGGTCACTGAGCCAGGGGCTCCTTAGAGGCTGCTGGGTATGGAGGCAGGAGATGGCTCCTCCTGGCCTGTGTGGGCCATGCGGCAGGTAGCAGAGCAAATCAGTGTACGAATTACTATTTGCTTCACGTGCCTCTGCCAAGAGAACAGGGGCAGAGCTTAGACCCGTATGGCTCAGGGCAGAATCTTCACTCTCCTGCAATGGCCCCATTATAGAGAGGGGCAGGACCTGGGTCCCCAAGTCCCTAAGCTGAAGCCAGATCCCCCACAGAAAGAGAAAATTGCTGATGTAGGGTAAGAGGGGCAATGAGTGGAGATAGAATTCCAAACCTCTGAACGGGCTGATTGGGTTGGACTTAGAGCCAGGCAGGGCAGGGACTGTTTGACCACCATCAGTTAATGCTCCTGTTGCAGCCCTTACCTTTTCCCCTCCACCCCGACCCCCATCACATGCCTCACCATCCCCACAAGGAGATGAACCATGGCTCAGTGAGGTTTAGTATAAATGCACAGCCAAGAGCCATCAATCACCCAGAGGCTGCTTTTGTGTAGACCCAGGTGTGTGACTGTTTCTTGGAATCTCATTTTATGCCCAAGGCACAGTCTGACCTGTCTGCCTCTGCTCCTGTTGCCCTGTTTTCCTGAATGTCTTCTCGGTGAGGAGACCTGTTTGTGTACTTTTTAAACCTCTTATTTATATTTCTTATATCTCTTTCCCCACCCTAATTTCTTCCAACACACCAACACCAGGTAAGAGAAGGGGTTAGTGGGAGAGGGGGTGCAGGTCTCTCAGCTGCTTCCTGCTGGTTTGGGTCATCGGGTTCCTTGGAGCCAGTCCAATCCTTCTTTCAGGAGATCTCCAACTTCTTGTCTCATGGCATCAACAGCAACTAGGAGCCGCAGTGGGCAAGCAGCAGCAGCAGCCTTGTTCTTTCTCGGAGCTCCTCCACGCTCTCTGGGCCCTGGCATTTATTCTCTCTCTAGAGTCCTCAGATTTAAACTATCTGCAGCTGGTAAAGAGCTCCTCTCAGCACCCACATGAGGCAAATAGTTTGCTGCTGCGGACCATCTGAATCAGTCTCACATCCCACACCTGGGATTAAAACAAAACCATGTTTATATCCACAACAAAGATCCTCAGAAGAGGGCCAGCTAAAAACATCACTCCCTCCATCTGACGCCCAACAATCCCACCCACCTCGTCCCGCAGCATGAGATCCCTAACAAGACAGCAACTGTTCACCACCGTTAGCATTCTGTTCTACAGATAAGGAAACCGAGACATGAAGAAACTGCGGACCCTTTCCACAGCCTCCTTAGTACCAGAAACAGTCTTATGGCCCCTTATCAGTTCTTCCTCTGTCCCACTGAAGGCTGAGGGCTTGGCGCTGACATCGTCTGGCAACATCAGCCTATTGCTTCCTGCAAGATTAGGACTGAGATAGACAGCTGAGCCCATGAGATAGCACAGAACCCACCCTGACCTGACTCTAGGGTAGAGAAAGGGTTGTTCCCATGACCTCTGTCTTTGGGGAGCCCTGGGTTAATGGGAAAAGGCAGAGACCCAAAGAGACTTGGAATAAAGAGGGAGATGTCATGTGAGTTTTTCTGAGGACACATGACAAGGATAGATAGGACGCCAGTGATTAATTGGCCAAAGAAACAGTCGCACCCACTTTTAGCTGGATGAACCATTAATTTAATTGTGGTTACTAATAGAATATAGCAGTATGGGTGACTCACAGGCAGCGGCGTCGCTGGGATGCGACACTCCACATCCCTAGAGCTCGCTACACAGCGTGTAGACGGCTCTGCTGAAGAGTCCCCGCTCCCCAGCAGTCATTATTGTGAAGTTTAACTTGGGGGAGGGGCTTGTGAGACAGGAGCTTTCTGGGTCTGTAAATCACAGGGGCTTCTCTCCTCCCTCCAGGGGGAAGTGTATCACTCTGGAGAAGCTGTTTATACAACATGAGGACTCTACAAGAGTGTGGGTGTAGGTGTAGGTATAGACATGGGAGTGGGGGGGTGTCTCGGGTGTGGGTTCCAGTCCCCCTTCCCAGGGTCCTGTTGGTCACTGCAGCATCTGCCCAAGCCACCCAAGCATACAAAGATGGGGCCTACCTCCTGGGCAATATCACCAGCACGGGGTGCTGGAAGGTTTTGGCTCTTTCTTCTTTTCCGTGTCCACCATCACTGTCATTGGTAAGGGCATCACGGGGACAAGCTGGTGGGGCTTGGGCCGTGGCTTCACCCTGAGGGGCAATGGAGCCAGTGATGGCGTTTCAGAGGGTGTCACGGACGTCACACCTGAATGCAGTCATACGTGCAGCACGCCCACCCTCCTTCAAGCAGCATCTCCGGTCTCAGGCCCCGTGGACCTGGTTTCTACATTTCACCACCCACCAAGGCAAATGTATGCAGATTCAAGTTTGGGGGCTGCTGCTTTCATGGACTTTGCTCATCACACCCAGCCCTACAGACCCTTGAAGCCCAGCCAGCACCCCTCAATCCCTATAACTATCCTCCAGACCCATGTCCCCTCCGGAGCCAGGCTGAGGTGGAACCTATCTTGAAGCATCTGGGACTGTTGTGTGGAAACTGTGGACAGAAAGCCCTTGTTCTCAGCATCGCCTGCATGACCTAGGACTTACCACCAGGTGGCAGGGTCACACCACTGATGATGCTGGTTCTCTCTCTCTCTCTTTCTCCCCCCTTCTGTCTCTCTCTCTTCCTCTCCCTCCTCTTCCCTCTCGCTCTCCTTCTCCATTTTCTTCCCATCCCTTGATCAGCAGCCTTTTGATCCTTACCTTGTCTTTGTAGCATTGCGCCCCAACACATGCACACACCTCTTCAACACTCCACTTATTCAGGCCATCATGCTGTCATCTCAGCACTTGAGAGGTGGAGGCAGGAGGGTCGAGAGTTCAAGGTTACAGCCCGGGCAACATAAAACAAAACAAAACAAAAAAAAAAAACAACTTTGTTTTAAGACAAACAAAACAGGAGTGGAAAGTGGGATGGAAGCTCCAGAGAAAGAGGCTTCTGAGATTGTCAGGCCAGATACCCATAGGTATCATGATTCATCTGACCGTTCACTCAGCCAGGTACCCACCAGATGCTCAGAAATTCACATTCCCGCCTACAGTGTGTCCCCATTGTGACCTCTTATTACCCCCACACCAGGTGAATGCCTGATGCCCGTTTTAAGCTCAAGGAAACCAGCTTAGAAAGATCAACGCCTTTGCCCAAGTTCCCACAGTCTTGCAGGCATCAGTGCCCAAGAAGTGGAGCCAGAAGGGACGAGAACTCCACAGCCCAACAGCAAACTGATGTGCCAGCCTGGCTGTGTCTCATTAGAGCTGGTTAGACACCAGCTGCCACCTCCAGCATAGGAGTAGAATGAGAGGACATGGTGGGTGGCTATGCCCAGAGCTGGGGAAGGGTCCCCTTAAAACCCCCTCCCTGCTACTTCAGGCTGCTACATCCTGATTCCAGAGACCATGCCTGCCATCTCTTTGCATCTTCTTTGCTCTTGTGGGAATCCCTCTCTACCTGCTGGTGCAGCGCTGGCTGGGCTACCTTATACAACATGGGGAGCACCGATATGCCCACCAGTTGTGGGTAGGGCAGCTGGCAGGTGAGACAATGGTCGGTCGGGAACTTGGATGAGTCACTTCCGGATGGGAGACTGTGGTGGAATTGGAGTTCAGGACTGGAAGGGGCAGAATGAGGAATGGATGGTGAGGTTGGGGGAGCAAAGCC